AAAGAACAGAGGCTTCCTTCGTCCATGTCTTTATATATAGGCTTTCAGCAGAACATGTGGCCCCAAGAGAGGGGGATTTTTCCATCACACATACACACACACACATATACACACACACACAATCTATCTCAAAAATAAATAAATAAATAAGCAAGCATGAAAACATGTATTTGTCATTAGCCCAAGAGAGAAACATTATTCAATCATATACCACTGAGTAGCTTTAGATGAATAGTAAAAATCTTAAACTCTACAGCAAGTTCCTGAAATGTGCCAAAATATTAATTGTTCTGTATCCACTGTCTGATAAGTAAACACACAATTGAAGACAAAACAGAAATTGTTTTAAATTGCAACATGAAAAATATAAAAGTGGAGAATTTTGAAATCCTATGATACACCAGTGTCCTATTCAACAAAATTTAACTGAGAAGCAGATTTGCAAAAGAAATTACAAGATATAGTAACTGGGATAGATAGGCTGGGATAGAAAGATCACTTTGAGTCCTGGAATGCAAGGCTAACCTGGGCTACACATGGAGATTTCATCTCTCAGAACAGGGAAGAAAGAATGTATGTATGTATTCCTACTTTAATACGCCTAAAAAAAAATGGAAAAAGTTATGTCAACTTAACATAGACTAGAGCCCCTAGAGAGGAGGAAGCCTCAATTAAGAAAATGCCTCCATAAGACTGTAGGACATCCTCTTAATTAATGATTGATGGAGGGCCCAAACCACTGTGGAGTGGTGCCACCTCTGGGCAGGTGATTCTGGAGTCCATAAGAAAGCAGCCTGAGCAAGACAGCATATGGAGCAAGACAGTAAGCAGCACTCCTCCATGGCTCCTGTATCAGCTCCCACCGCCAAGTTCCTGCCTTCTTTGAGTTCATGTCTTGACTTCCTTCACTGGTGAACAGTGATATGGAAGTCAAATAAACCCTTTTGCCACACAACCTTTCTTTTGGTCATGGTGCTTCATCACGGTAATAGTAACCCTAACTAAAGCAATACCCAAAAACCATAGTTGATGTTTATTAATGAAAACTCCACTAGAGACTAACTCTCTACAAATGAAGGCTCACAGGGTTTACACTTCTGTAATTTCATGACTCACATGTGTTTCATGTTCTGTTGCTTGTTTCCTACTTTTCACAATTTTGGAAGTTTTAATTCCATGTACCATTAAGAAAAGAGATAGTTACCTCACGGAGGTACAGACCTATAATTCCAGCATGCAGGAGGCAGAAGCAGGAGGATTCTAACAAGTTTTCTGCCAGTCTGGTCTACGTAGACAGAACCAGATCAAGTAAGTATACATAATGAGAACCTGTCTTAAGACAGAAAGACAGGACAGAGGAAGGGAAGGAAGATGGGAAGGAAGGAAGGAAGGAAGGAAGGAAGGAAGGAAGGAAGGAAGGAAGGAAGGAAAGAAGGAACGAAGGAAGGGGAAAAGAGGGAG